CTAATAAGAGAACTCTGAAATTAAATCAGCCAAAGCTTGTTCCTTAATTGTAGTCCTTGGGATGTACTTGATGTCGTGTTGGCTCATCTCTATAGTCCACTGAATTAACCTAACCGATGCCTTGAGTTTCTGCATTATCTTTCTCAATGGAAAGCTTGTGAAGACATGTATGTAATGCGCCTGGAAATAGGGTCGCAATTTCTAAGCGGCTATGACGAGTGCATAGGCGAGCTTCTCCATCTTAGGATATCTTGTCTTAGTATCGAGCAACTGCTTGCTCACATAGTATACCAGCGACTACACTCCCTTATCTTCGTATAACAAAGCCACATTGATTGCAGACTTAAATACCGATAAATACGGTAGTAGGGGCTCGCCCTGGATGGGCTTCGACAACAAAAGGGGTTGTCCCAAGTGTTTTGTCAACTCGTAGAATGCTTTCTTGCATTCCTTTGTCCACCTGTTTGTAGCTTGAGAGACAAATCTGCTTAGTACGACCACTCGCCCTATCAAACTCTAAACTTGCTTTATGCTAGCTGGGCTCTTCATGTTAAAGAGAGCTTGAATCTTGTCTAAGTTGGCTTCGACACCTTGCTGATTTACAAGGAAACCCAAAAGCTTCCCCGAGTTTACTCCGAAAGCACACTTTAGAGGATTAAGTCTCATTTGGTATTTTCTGAGGACGTCGAACATTTCCCCCATGTGCTCAATGTGGCTTTCAGCGACCTTTGACTTGACGAGCATGTTATCAATGTACATCTCCATTGTTTTGCCAATTTGCTCGATGAACATCTTGCTCACCAAACGCTGATAGGTCGCTTTAGCATTCTTCAGGCCAAATGGCATTACCCTACAACAATAAATATTCTAATTAGTAATAAGGAGGTGTATTCTTTATCAAACTGATACATCAGGATTTGGTTGTATCCCGAGTATGCATCCATGAAGCTTAGTGGTGCACTCCCGATTGTCGTATCTACTAGTTGATCGATTCGAGGTAGCGAGAAGCTATCTTTGGGACAAACCTAATTCAGATCAGTGAAGTTGACGCAAGCCCACCACTTTCTATTCGACTTCTTCACCAAGACTGGGTTAGCGAGCCAGTCTGGGTACTTTACTTCCCTGATGAAGTTTATATTTAGGAGTTTATTAACTTCATCCTTGAGTGCTCTGAATTGCTCAGCATCCATAGATCTTCTTTTTTGTCAAACTAGTAAAGCTCCTGAGTCAATGTTTAACCTGTGGCACATTTCCTTGGGACTGATCCCTACCATGTCCGCATGTACTCAAGCAAACACCTCAAGGTTTTTCTTTAGAAACCCCGCAAGATTTTTTGCCAACTCGTCATTTAGACTAATGCCAACTCTCAGCACACGAGTTGGATATTCCTTGCGGATAGATACTTCTCAAAGCTCTTCAGTTGACCTTGCTGCAAGCTCTTCTTTGTGGATGCAAAGATCTATAGTATCTTCTAGAGGTCTAGGCTTTGGCTCGGACTCAGTAATGACCATGGTTCTCAGGAGCAGCCATTTTTGTGCAGCATGAATGGCCCGATTGTAACATTCCCGAGAATCTTTCCTACAACTCCTGCTTGGAGTTAGGAATCTCATTGCTTGGTAGTGCATTGAGGTGATTGCGCTTCGGTCATCCAGGATTGGTCTCCCGACAATGAGATTATAAGTGGTTAGGCAATTGACCACTAAGAGCTTCGCCATCACCGTCTTGATCTTAGGCTCTTCCTCAAAAGTCATGGGCAAGTCGATTTTTCCCTTGGTGACTAAGCTATCCCTGGTGAATCTTTAGAGCGATGATGAACACGCCCTTAAGTCTCGTTCTGTGAATCTCATTTCTCAAAAAGCTCCCAAGAAAATGACGTTCGTTGTATTGCCATTATCGACCATTACCCTGAGTACTCGGGTATTGCCGATCCCTGTTGTGATTACAATCGTATCATGATTGTGGTGAGGAGATTCTTCACATTCTTCCTTGGTGAAACCTATCACCTCATTCTCTTGCCTAGGCCGTTTTAGCGGCTTTTGTTCATAGCTTATTACTCGGCGGACAAGTCTGTCATGGCCTCTCATGCATATGGCTCGCGAGAGTGCCTTGTGCTCCCTACAATGTCGGACCCCCCATTGATCATGCCTACCAAAATATCGTTGTTGGTCAAAGCTTGTTGGATATGATTATTCTGCTTGCTTGTATTTTCGTTAGTTGGCGCCTCCTTGACAAATTCTTTCAAGCGGCCTCTTCATATTATATCTTTGATGGCATCTTTCAAAGCCCGACACTCATTGGTGTTGTGCCCGATGTCTTGGTGGTACCAACAATATTTTTGATGATCTCTTTTGCCCAGTGCCCCCCTCATTCTTTCTAGCATGGGCAGTCTCTTAGCCTCATAGGAGACTTCATATATGTGAGCTATATCTTCAGTTAGGGGGGTGTACTCTGCATATCATAGAAAGGGTTGCCTTTCCCCGCGTTTTTCTGTCTCTTTTGGAAACTGTTCCAGTCCCTATCATTGTGATCTTGGTCCCTCCGTTTATCTGCTAGACGATCGTGTCATCTGTCCAGGGCTCTTCTTAATGAGCTTTTGGCTAGGCCTGCTAGCGAGCTTTCCACTCGCTGATGTTTGGTGACCATTTGATAGAACTTGGCTAGACTCACATAGTCTTTGCTTTGGAGCTCTTTCCACAACTCCATCTATGGCCTAATTCCTACTATTAGCAAAGTCAAGATATACTCTTCAAGTGCATCCGCGACCTTTGTTTGTTCATTATGGAACCTCATTAAATATGAGGTCAACGTTTCTTCTCTTTCTTGAAAAATATTGCTCAAATAGCTGAGCGGCATTGTGAACTGTCTCCTCGCTTGAAATTGTTGTAGGTATGGTAAAGAGAACCATTGCCACAACTGAATTGAGTTCGCCTTAAGCCTCTTAAACCACCTCTTGGCATCCCTTACTAATGTGACACAAAACAGTGACACTTTGCCAAGTCACAGACCTAATGTAGCTCCATCAGGTCGTTAAAAGAGTCAAGGTGGTCTCTGGGGTCTCCTTTCCTATCAAACTTGCTCTCTAGCGTCTTAAATTCCTAGGGGAATAGGGCTTGACAAACTTCTTCTGTGAACCAAGAACTCACTATTTCTTCCACAGTAGTGTTTTGGCGAGCTCTTAGATCATCGAGTATTTTTTGCACTTGATCTAAATCTTCATTATGATGAATACTCTGGTTGTGGGCTCTATTCAGCCTTACCTCAAGCAGGTGAGTTTGAAGATCCATTGCTTGTGAGCCTCCTCTATTGTGTGCATTGATGCTTGAGGTTGAGTCATGATGGCTGGGTTTGTAGGTTCTATCATACTCATCAGTGCACTACTAGCGACATTGATTAAAATCAAAACGTCGGTCATTGCCAAATTAGCACGCGTGACTCATCTCGTGAGCTTGCGAGGACTGAGTCCACCTTTGGCGTGGGTTAAAACCGACATTCTCCCGCATGGGCTGTTTGCCTAGTTGCCTCCCGCGGTTAGTTTGCCTACAGGACTCACGTTCTTGAGTGGAATGTACCTTGTGGTGTCGGGTATGTTAGTCGCTCCTTAGTGCTGACGAACCAGATTGGTTATTGATGGAGTTCTAACTTGTCGGGTAACATCCATGTAGCGTGGTTGGTCAAGGTCCTAGGTGGTTGGTTGCTGATTTCTTAACTCAGCTATGTCCTATTGCACCGCCTGTGCAACCATTGTTTTGATCACCACCCCCAGCTGCCCATTCTTGGGATTTGACATCCCTACCTCTTACCGATACATGATTTGTTGCACTAGCGGCATTGGTTGTCCACCTGAAGGAATAGTCTGATACACCTTGTTAGTTTTCATGTTGTCATGGTTTTCAATGTTGGTCTTTGATCTGGTACGGGCCATTAGAATTTCCAAGTGATCGGGTCACTAAAATGGATTGCCATAAATTTTGAAATTTGGTAAAGGCCCTCCTTCTAACGCCAAAATGCTGATACGAAAATCGCACCAACTAGAGTGATCCGATTGACTGTGATGGAAACGGAATGAGTGTGTGTGTGATAACCAGCAAAGTATGAATAAAAAACAGTAAAGTAAATGATACAAAAGGTTTTTAAAGTGGTTTGGCAAGTTATGATCTTGAGCCTATGTCCATTGTTTTCTTATTTTGCTTTGAGAGCTTACAAGAAATTCAATGTAATGCCTAGACTAATTTGTTGACCCCTTTGCCATCGTTGAAAGAGGTTTATATACAAGTTTTGTATAAAGGAAAGAGCGAAATTAAAGGAATTCCAATCAAGATTGGAATGCAACTCTGATATCTTCGCGATTGAGCATTGAGATTGCACCATCATTGCTGTTGATCTAATCCCTTCTGAAATATCTAGGATTTGAGTTTATCTATGATCTGTTTGACAACTGTCGAGATTGGTCACAACTAGCTTATATTGAGTCCAGCTATATCTCAATGAGCATATTCTAAGTCGAACAATCGTTTGAGCCGAAATGGTTCTGGGTCGGGCTATAACCTCACAGAACTCTAACTTCTCTGAGCTTGGTGGAAAAATCACAACAACAATAATTATTCTGTTATTTTAGTTGGAGTGAAATAATTAATTATATTAATTATTATTAAGCAACACTACACTTACAACTTTTTCATACAACCTTGATGTGATAACTCACAATTGGTCAGCTTGTAGTGGGTCTCATCTGCCCAAATGCAAAGTGATTAATCGCGAGCTATCATCTCATGGTTGTATAAAAAAGTTGTATGATAAAGCTATAAGTCTAGTTTTATTGATTTTTATTACACCAGAATCGTTTAATTAAAGAGGAAATGTTTTCAAATTATATCTTGTGTCAAATGCATCCATCGTTATTGTTAAAATAGCAGAAAGCATTGCCGCAATTTGTTAAAGAATCCTTGATTTCAACCCTTAAAAACGTCCAAAGAATAAAAATGATGTTTTATGGATGAAATGTTACAAAATCTACGAGTATAAAAATATTTTCTTATATAATCACCCTGACAATTTCTCTAGACTCTAGTACATACTAAATTCGAATTCTATTTTTTCTCACTTGAGGGAAATACCGGGGCCATATGTATAAAAGACAAAGTCTACCAGGAGGGGAAGTTTCAAATACACAAACAAAAACACAGGCGAACAAACTGAAGCACCCAGAAAAGCAAGTATCCAGTGTGCCTTTCTGTCATAAAACACTAGATAAACAGTGGCACCATAGTCTACCATCATCGACGTTACAGAGACGAACAATAAAACGAGACCTGATATTAATCTGTTGGGCAGGACATAAAAAAAATTATCTTCTGCATAGCCTGTAATGAGCATGGACAGGAACATTATCATGGCGGCAATTGATGACAGTAGAGAGAGTGCATCCGAAATGTCAAATATAATGAAGCTTCTCTCATGGGAAAACTTTGGTTTACCATTATCTCCGTTGCCACCAGGCACGCTGATAGCCGCTGCAAATACAATTGTGGTAACGAGTGTTGTTGCTAATGAGCATCCGGTTGCTGCTTGTTTCATCCATTTCTCACCTTTCTTAACAAGCTCCATATGTTCCTTTGTAAATACCATTGCTGGAGTTTCTCCTTTAGAATTTTCACTCACTCTGTATGAGGCTGTATAATTTTCTCCACTTCTGAATAAATAATTCATAACTAAAAGTATGAAAGATTAAGCACTTCTAAAACCGTTCCTGGCTTTTTAGCCTGAAATCACTACAAATTTCTACAAAATATCATAAAATTTCTTAATAAATGGTTTTAATATTCTAACATGTTTACCGCTTTTTGATAGGGATAAAAAACATCAAAATCACAATTCGTTTTTGTCAAAAAAAAAAAAAAAAAAAAAAAAGGAAAGGAAGAAAGGAAAATAAGAAGTGGAGACATTATTGTAAAAGAATCCAATACTTCTTCTTCTTGGTCCTAAATATTTGAATAGGACGATCTATCCGAGGATATCTTTCCTTCGGAACAAACAAATTCGAATTTAGAATTTATCACATATCCCCTTTTTTAGTTTATTTTTTCTAAATTTTTTAATAAAGAGCAACTTTATTTCTTTTCTCAACAAGATTAAAATAAATTCAATTCAAGTTGCTAGTCTATCTGCATTTCGCTTCCTTTTTTAGAATTAAATATACATTTAAAATAGACTTGGCAAACTTGGACTCGTACCCACGGGTCCATGGGTACTCGGGTAAAATGGACAGGTACAGGTAACCATAATTATTACTTGTACCCGGCCTAACTGTGAAAATAACGGGCGGGTTAGGTGATACCTGCGGGCACTCGCACAAAAAAAAAAATTAACAAAGGTGAAGTGAAGACTGAAGAAGAAGAAATCAACAATTTCTTTAAATCTCAAACAATAAATCAATAACATCAACAAAGAAAAACTCATAAATCAACATTCATACCAGTAAAAATAAACCACAAATCAACATTCATACCAACAAGAATAAACCACATATCAACAAGAGAATGCATGGATCAAGCCGTGAAGTGGTTGCCGTTTGCCAGTAGCCTTCCATGACACCAACACATGCTTAGCCTCATTGGTAGTGGCAATAGAGATTAAAGATCTATAATGTATTTAATTTATAAAAGACAAAAGGAAATGGAAAATGAGACACAAAGAACAGAGGAAAAAAATTGGGAAAGGAAAAAACTTAAATCTCTTTTCATAGGAGAGAGGGAGAAGAAGAAGACAAAGAAGTATTGGAAGGGTGAAGACTGAAGAAGAAGAAGAAATATGAAAAAGTGGAGAGAGAGAAAAAGACGAAGAAGAATTGGAGAGAGGGAGAAGAAGAAGAGGAAATACGAAAAAGTGGAGAAGGAGAAAGAAGAATTGGAGAGAGGGAGAAGAAGAAGACGACGAAGAGGAAAGAGAAATATCTCGAGATGAAAAATAAAAAAGAAATAAATGGGAGAAAAAAACTTAAAAATAAAAAATTAGAGAGAAAAAATTTTAAAAAGTAAAATAAACAGGTGACTTGTTCTCCTACCCGTTCAAAAAAATTACCCGTCGACCCATAGTTACACAACCCATACCCACCCGTTTGCCAAGTCTAATTTAAATGATAAAAACTTATTATATTAGGCAAGTAATTTTATTTTAATGCAGTTGTTTTATATCATAATGTTTTTATGCATACTTAAAAAAAAAAAAAAAAAAAAAAAAAGAATTAGCCTTCATAATGCTTCTGGTTCCGCTCCTGTGACTCTCACTAATAGTCCTCTGTAAGAAATGCACCCGCAATATGTTACTGACATTGATTAAATCAGAAGGCTTACCCGAAACCACCGTAACTCGCGCTGCATCTGTAGGGCTGCACCATTGATGAGATTGAGTTGATTTTCGGGTGCCAATTTTCCAGCCAAGTGCAAGATATTGTTCCCATCATTGTCATGGGACATCAATAACAAATGTTTGTGACTACTCATATGAGATATAAGGTTGAACACCTTCTCTCTACGGTTCATGATTGCCAACTGGAGTGCATTATGATTGTCAGCATCTGAAAACCAGACTGCATCAGGGAATGATTTTATAATCTCTTTAACAACTTCGCAAACCCCCAATTCTGCAGCTAATAGGAACGGTCGTTTTAGTATAGAGTAAGCTCTTTCGTGGTCTAGTATTCTTGTAATTTCCATGCACAAGAGTTTGACTAGTTTTACTGCTATCTGATTCATCAACTTTGTCTCTCCTATCTCCTCTCTAAAACTTCGAACTGCAAATTAAATCAACTCAACAATGACACAAGTGTATGTTTATATCTTCTTTTGCCTTGATTTACAACTTCTTGTTGCATCTCAATTTCACCCCACTTTTATATATATTGAAAACCAAAAAAAAAAAAAAAAAAAATTTGTACGCACACAGCAAAGATAACGGTCCCAAAGTCTGGCTTTCTTCCGCTGGAAATGCAGAAGGTTTCTTGCTATTGCACTCAGAAGAGACTCCCCATCAGATAACTCCCTTATAGCTAAACTTGGATACTGTTTTACAAAGTCTAGTGCATGTCTGAGACAATACGATGGACGATAGATTATAATTAATTTCAAAGTTCTAACATGCAGATAGACTTTTAAATATAGAGATAATTCCATTTTCATTCTATGATTAAGAAGTAAATTTTTTTTTTTTTTTTTTTTTGGTAAAACCAGTATTGCCTCTTTGAAGACTCAAGCATAAGACCACTAAGTACAGCTACCCCCGTGATTAAAGAGGTGTCATTTGGTCACAAAAGGAGAAGTGTGTTTAAGAAGTATTAACATTTTGGTCCTGGACAGTTGGACAACATTCATTAGTGGACTATTAATTTACTTAAAGAAAACAAAGTACCTTTAAAAAAATAATGAAAAAAAATGCATTACACAAATGACACTATTGTGTCATATTTTTATTATTAGAGGGGTATTTTGTCATTGTGGTATAATTTTTCAAGTCAATTAAGTCAAAGGACCAAAAAACTAGTAATTGAATCTGATGTCCTTGATGATCATAGACTAAAACCATAGAGATGAAAGCAATTCTATCACTAAAAAAATGTTAATAAGTTAAAATGAGAAAGTCTATTGTAGCATAGTGATGTGCTGATGTGGTACCATAGTGATGCTGATGTGGTACCACATGACAGCGCATAGATTTTTTTTTTTTTTTTTTAATATATCGTTAAGAAGGTGGTATGGATGATGTGGTAGCTCGTTGTAATATAGATTTTTTTTTTTTTTTTTTTTTTTCTAATATATGCTTCTTGAAAACTTGCTGGTAATAATGTAGTAGCAAATAAGAACAACTCACCGTAAAGTCCAGCAACTATGAGCGAATTCAAGAAGGAGGAAAGCATGACATTTTCGTCAAAATGAAAATATTCGGGTGAATTGCTGTAAATATCTTATCCTCTTCTTTTGGCCATGGTGAGCAGCCTCATAATTGGCATCCTGCCGGAGTTGTTTGCCACTGCAACCAAGTCTGGATGTCTGCCCATATCATTTGGGCTGCTTGGAAATTGCCAACAATTGCAGCAATTGAAAGGGCTGTGTTGCCCTCATTTTTGGAGTCCCACATCATCTTTTGACATGAAACACAATAGAAACTTACAAAGTGATTCGCTTCTTTCCCAGCAGCAATGTGAAGTGCTGTTGTCCAAGTTTACCGTGATCCTGACGCGTACCGCTTCAGGATTCCAGTCACAGAAATCTTTTATCGATTCCAAGTTGCCTTCGAGTATAGCTTTATACAGTGGCCGGTACTTTGTGAGATCCTCGCAATAAAAGAAGTAAACAGAAATATTCTCAAGACATATATTTTGATTGGTTGATTGAATCAAATCTTTACTTATGGAAGTTAATCACTACAAGAAAATGAGATTTGTATCTGTTCAAATAGTTGTTGAAAGTTATCATATAGTTGCAGATTACATTTAACGTCTATTTCAAAGTAGTTGCGCGTCTGAAAGATTGTCCAGGAAAGATACGCCAACTATTTCAAATAGTTAATAAGAATACCCTTTAACAATTAAAACTTTAGTTGCCAATTTCAACTAAAATAGTTGTAATTTTCAGTAGCTACTTACCCACAAGCTGTGATGAAGAAGAGGAGATGGGTGTGATTGAAAAAGATTCGCTCTGTATTGTTGAAGAGAGGCTATATCTAGTCTAGTAGTGTGCTCCATTACACTATAGCATATGATTGATTAATGGATCTCTCTTCTGAAGAAAAAGCCACAGGCCGTTCTGAAGAAGAAGAGGCCATAGGGTGCTTGAAGAAGGTGAGGAAGAAAGGGTTGTGTCTGTGTTGACGAAGAAGACTAGGCTGTGTTGAAGAAGATGTTGACGCCACAGGTGTTTTAAAGGTAAGTTGGACCCAAGGCGGGCTCAAGGGGTGGGCAGGTGCCTAGGGCCCCCAAAATAAAGTCAAAAGGGCCAAATTTTTTATAAATATTTTTTAAAATATTACGAAAAATAAAAATAATGTAATTCTTATTTAGGCCAATCCAAAAGGGCCCTAAAAAAACAAAAAAAACCCAAATTTTTATAAACTTTTTACATATATTCTACCCAAAGTTTAACGAAATAGCAAGTTTGTACCTCTAGTTTAATATTTTTAATTACACCTTTAATTAACACATTGAATTCTTTTAACAATAAAAGCTAAAATAGTCATTTACATGTGTCAAATTAATCACCTCCAATTCAATCCAAAATTCGATATTACATAAATCATCTCACCCCCTTCCGCGCGGCCGTGGAGTGATTCTGATCGATTTTCTCACCAAAATTGACCGAAACCATCATTTTAATTTTCCAAGTGTTTTTCCAGTCTTGATAGCTCTTGATTTGGTCAATTTTTTACGAATCTTGCAACCTAGCTCCACTGCATGCGACAACCATCCGGCCTTTTCGGCATGTACTGGCACTGTTGGCCTTCCCCAAACAACACCATCTTCCTTGCTTCAGCCTTTCACCAAAATCCTTATCATATCTCTCGTTTACTTTGCATAGCAGGCCCACGATGCTTTTGGGCCGTGACTTCTCAAGCTTTTCCTGTTAATTTTGGCATTGGAAATCACTCATTCCACCACCTATCACTTTTTCAGCATCTACTCTCCAAAACCTCTACAACCTAACCCCGTTAGCCTGTCAGTCATCACTCACCTCTCATAGTGATTTGCATCTCAAAAGGTAAGAAAAATAATTTAAAATAATTCTTTTTAATATATGTTATATTATTAGAAGGCCCAAAAAACTTTTATCTAAGGTCACAAATGTTCTTGAGAAGGCACTTGGACACAAAACTATGGTGAAAGCTTCGTTCGACGTGGCACACATGCCTTGCCAACTGAACCCATGACTTACGAAAGAGACATTCTGTCAACCCTCTGAACTATGGTGGCATTACAATAAAACTTTATGTTTCGGAAATAGCTCTTAAACCCCTACCTTTTGTAAGCGTTTCCTAATCAGTGAGCTGACACGTCAACTGACTTAAATCCCTTTTTACTAGGGGTGAGCGGTTCGGGTACCCTGCACTTTTCCGGGGAACAGGAACCGGAACCGCACAGTACAGGTTCCCAAAAAGGAACCGGAACTGGAACGCACAGTACAGGTTCTTCAATTCAAGGAACCGGAACCTAAAAGCAGTTCCGGTTCCTTTCCAGGGTACCCTGTAAAAAATCAATTACCCCCTATTAGTTTAAAAAATAACAAAACACCTTATAAGTTTACAAATACACCCCTAACAAATTTTCGTTATCATTCATTTGTGTCCAATGTAACATAATCTGTAATCTCTAAGCAACGTTTGAATTCAACCAATTCATCACAATTCACATAAAAATCGTCAATCAAAACCAAACACAAACATTATTCATCACAATTCACATAAAATAACTTCACCAAAATCATTTAAACAAATAACAATTCTTAATACTAATTACTAACATTGCATTTGCCAGGGGTCTATTTGATAAGTTAATAAATTATTATGTTTATAAATTTATTAATTAATGTTATAATTGGTTAATTGGGTATTATAATATACCAAATATAATTTAGTAAATAATATTAGAAACAAGAATGTTATAATTAAATAAGTGATCATACACAATGTAAATTGTAATGTTATAATATTAAGTGATCATACTACAATGTAAATTGTAATGTTATAATTAATTAAGTAATATATTATTTAATTATAATGTAATATTATAATTAATTAAATTGTTAATCATTTAATTAATATTATAATATGTTTATAATAGAATTTTATAATAATAAATAATCATACCATAAATTTATAATATAATGTTATAATTAATAAAATTATAATAATTCGATTAAATATTGTGCAAATTAGTAAATTACTAATGTTATAATATAATGTCAAATCAATTAAGTAATCATTTAATTATGTATGTATATTAATTATATGATCATAATATAAGTATAATGTAATGTTATAATGAATTAAGTAATCATACTACAAATCTATAATTTAAATATTAATTAATTAAATTTCAAATCATTTAATTAATATACTAATGTTATAATGAATGTTATAATTGATTAAGTAATCATATACAAATAATAAAAATAATGTTATAATTAATTAAATTTTTAATCGTTTAATTAAGTAATGTAATATATAGTAAATACTAAGTTTATAATGTAATGTTATAAATTCATAACTAATTAAGTAATTATGTAATCATTTAACTATATAATGCTATAATTAAGTAAGTGATTATAATATAATGTAATATAATAATATATATTAATTGAGTAATTATTTAACTATAATGCATGCTAATTAATGTTTATAAGGTAATGTTTAATTAATTAAATTTCTTATCATTTAATTAAGTATTGTGCAATGTTATGTAGTAAATTAGTATTACTAATATTTAAAATAATCATAACATAATCAATTAAGTAATTATTTAATTATGTAAGTTATATTAATATATGATCATACATAATAGTATAAATGTAATGTTATAATGAATTAAGTAATCATACAAATCATAATTTAATATTATAATTATTAAATTTCAAATCATTATTAATATACTAATGTTATAATGGAATGTATAATTGATTAGTAATCATATTACAAAATATATAAAGTAATGTTATAATTAATTAATTTTTAATCGTTTAATTAAGTAATGTAAGTATAGTAGATTACTAATGTTTATAATGTAATATTATAAATTCATAACTAATT